TACCAAAACTAGAAATTCTGCATCATCAACTTGGCTCATATTTTCATTTTATGAAATTATGTATTTTTGGCTCAAACTGGATTTTGAGCACTTTTTCGATATTTTGAGACGGCTATATGAACTGCTGAGAATAATAGACTGACAATAGCAGGTTTTTCGCAAAAGCGGGATAAAAATCAGTTGCAAAAAAATGCAAAACAAACTTGCCAAAAAAATGCATCTAGGGCCTCGAAATCGCAAGAATGCCCATTTTTTTATCATTTTTCAACCATAACTCGCAGCGTATCCAATTTTTATGGCCACTATATTCAGCAATTTTGTAGCCAACGTATAATTGGACAACTTTGCTCAACATACTAACCCAGAAAAATCATGTTCTATCTACTTTTTTGGCTCAAAATCATTCTTTGGTACCAAAAATGGTCATTTTGTTGTAAATTTTGCCTATTACATGCAACTATTTGTATATCTTTCCATATTTTTCGCTTGAATTTTTGTTAAAGTGTCTCCACAGATGATGTGAACTTGTTTTTAAGCTATTTTAGTGGAAAAATCACTCATTTGCAGGGATATTTCGAGTTTTGGACCAATTTTGGTGGACATTTGGTCAAATGAAGTGACAACAGCCATATTTCAGTTTCTAATGTATGCTACACTAAAGCTTATATTCACAGCTAAAAAATAAGGCCAATACGATTCACCTATGATGTCCAGTTGGAAAGTTATGGCTCCCCAAGTAATGACATGTTCAATTTTTACACTATTTTGGCACTAATTATCACTTGAGCAGCCATTAGTACCCTACCAGACGACATAGGCATGTGGCTTTAGCCTTATTTTTCAGCGAAGAACATCAGCTTTAAAACACCATACAGCTTAAACTGAAATATATCATCTGTCATGACTCAATGTTGACCAAACCACCAAAAATTGGTCCAAAAACCAAATTTTTCACTCATATACATTGAAAAACATCTTTAAAAATTACTCAAACATTGGTACAGATAATATTAGCTTGAATGTACTGTTTTTTTAATATTTGAGAGGGAAAAAATTCATTTTTATGGAAAAAATTTGTTTTTTGGACCAATTTTTAGCTCTTGATTAGTAGAATAAATTTGACCAAAACACAAATTCAAAATAATCTACCATTTCTGAATTCTAACCTCAAATTTCAAATAAATGCAACGTGTGCTTCTCTGCCATAAGAACCAATGTATTTGACGTGACAGTGAATAGCGGTGGCGCCTAAATAGAATCTGCGGCAACTTTCGGAACTATCAATACTTCTTGTTGTTGCGAAATTCGTGACAACAACAAAAAGTATTGATAGTTCTTAAAAATGCCGCAAATTGCTAATACATCTTATTTAGGCGCCACCGCTATCTTGCGCCGGCCAAAAGCATGGGTTGAATAAATGGCGTTATTTTGATAGCAACTGTCACACTTCTATGGCTGTATGAACTATTTCAAAGACTTGATCGATTATTATTTCATTTAATTGGCCTACTTTTAAGCTTTCAAACTCCACTCACTATGCTTCAATATCATTCTTGGTTTGCGAAATATTCGCATGTGTTGAGGATGACAAAGGAAAATATGTTAAAAAAGTTTGACCGTCTCTATTTTCCACAGAATGATTGGGTTGAGCAAAACATATACAGCATTTCGAATCTTCATAAGCTGGTGCACCAAGCTGTGCTTCTACTTTTTGAATGTCATCGCGGTTTTTCCGTTTATGAAAATATATAACGAACCGTGCTCTCAATTTTGTCCAGTGCAAAATTGACATTGTTATACATTTTTGAAGAAAAAAAAATCCCGAAATTCAAAAATATTCACAAGAATTCTTCTAGAATGTTGTAGTTTACATTATTCTGCAAAAATTAGGATGAATCTTTCAATGAAAAAACGAATTACGTTCATGAAATAATCGTCGGTACATTTTTTTTTGTCAAGGGTGCTATCAATTTTGTCCGATACTGTATATAAGAGAACCGAAGAAGAATTGGATAAAGTAGCGCAAACTGTTTGCGTAAGATGGAATATGGGATGGTTTGTTGTTCAAAAATAAATACCATACACGCGCGCGTTCGGCAATTTTATTATATTTTCGTCGAAGCGCTCATTGGCTTTTAGCGCGCGCTGAGAGGGCTTTCATGGATATCAGAGAGTAAGTGAGCGAACTACATTTCTCGTATTTAGACTGTCTCGAGCCGTGCCGAGTCAAACTCTCATTCCATGATGTGGGGAATGTATTTTTTCTGCCTTCATGATAAGGGAGCGAAGAAGAGTGAGTGAGTGAGGGAGAGAAATAGAGCTGGCAAAACCAGTACCATGGAGTATGAGTGAGAGAATGTGTTATGAACGGCAGATGCTTTGTGCTTTTGCCATGCAAACACGCGCTTTCGCATAACAAATGCACTGTGATTACGCAGCGACAAGTCTGTTGACTGAGTTTAAGTCGAGTTGGACCAAATATACATAGCACACACACATC